CCAGAAGGTCTGGGATTTTTTTCCCCGCTCCAGTAATTTGAGTGTTAAATGTTCTACTGTGTCCCTGGTTAGAACAGTCAGTAGTGCCAGCAAGGCACGATCCAAATCCATACAAGGTGTGTCTCACAAGTTTCTCCTTTGAGCCTTTCATTCTACTCCAGAGAGACCAACAGTTGTTATGGCCATCACTTTTCAATAAATGAGTTATTTAAGAGGCTCAAACAGGATTTATCACTGCACATTTGAATGTCTGTACTGTAATGCACTTGATCGGTCAAGCACTGACTGATCTGACCACAGGCCAAGATACTCTTACGAGCTCTTGAATTGGAACTTACCCAACAGCAGGTTTTCAGAGGCTGTAAATCTCCTCCTTTGCAATTTACCACCTCTTAAAACCTGCTGGAGGGTCAGCTATGGGTCGGTTTGAACTCTGTGGCACACAACAAAAAAAATCACATGGTTGAGTTGCTCATCTGTCTTCCACGAAGCAGCTTGAAGATTTGAACCTCCTGCCTTTGGGTTGGCAGGGAAACTCCTTACCATTAAAAGCCACCAGAGGGCCATAGCCATACAAAATCCATAAAACATCTCTCTTAAATGCTAATGCTCTGTTTATAATAACCTTTCACCAACCACCATGACAAGAGCACGTCACGTTCTCTGCAGATCAAGTCTCTATGCTGCCTTGTGTCTGCAGCTACTGGCTGCCACAACGGCTCTTAGACCCAGCTGACTCTGTCTCTAGGAAGGGAAAACTGAGTGCCACATGACTGCAGATTTATGAGCCAACACTGGCATCCTGCGTGTAGAAGACTGACAGCCAAGAGTAATCCAGTCCCCCAGGACATTGAGACAAGTCATTAGAGTATAATAAAATAGACATAGTCTAAAGAAAAAAAGAGTAGGGAGGGAAAGGAAAAATCTAAAAGATGGCGGTGACTCACTCCTTTAAAAATCTGCTTCTCTGTGTGAAGATCAATCAACACTATACAAACATGACACAACAGCACATTTTCTTTATGTGGCAGAAATAAAAAGCAAATGTACCGGACAGTCTGCTCGGCCATGATCTGTCAGTTACTTAGCTGTTTATGTGCAATTATTTTGTTTGTTTACCCCTTTAGGCCTCAAACTAATGTTCCCTGTAGAAATGTAACCAACTCACTTTAGCAAGAAGAATTTAATGTGACTACTAGAAAAATAAATCAATCTACTTAAATTTTCTTCTTCTCTATTTGTTCTGAAACCAGGTGGTCATGCAGCACATTCATTCTGCTTGGACTCTATGAACACATCAAGCTAGGTCAGAGTTCAGGAGAACACACTCTCCTTCCAGACTGCCAAGTCTTCCACGACTTCTGACACAGGCACAAGTTTAGAGGTCCCTAAGGCCCTTCAATTCTAACCTGTAGACCATAAATGTTTTCTCATTTTTTTTTGGAATATCAGCTCAAGGGTATATAGAGACCCTCCTTACTTCTGATCCAAGGCTCTGAACACTTCCCTGTTAATTCACTTCTCTCAGTAATTCACTGGAATCACTCATAGACCTTAGGAAAGCAATATACTTATGATTAGTTTTATTACAACAGAAGACACACATGAAGAGACTATTACCATAAGGTTTGGGAGGCTTTTCAACAAAGAATTTCTGTTTAACAAAAAAAAATGAGCACACAACTCAACTATGTGGACGGGTATCTTTCACCAAACAGGAAGCCCATAAAGTGTCCAGAGCCTTTACGGGGTCTCATTACATTGGCATGACTATAGAGATCCAATCCTCCCTCTCGTCCAACCTTCGCGCCTGAGGTCAGCTGTTAAGAGGTGGTTTTCTGGGGAGCTCTGGTGGCCTAGTGGAAGGGAGCTGCAACTACAATCCCAGAGGCGCACGGTTCGAATCCACCAGATGCTCTGCCGGGGGAAGGAGGAACAATCTCCTCCTGTACCAGTCAGATCTGATTTGACGGTATACTCACACAAAAATAATAAAGTAAAAAAAAAAAGAGGTGGTTTTCTGCACTGACCAGCCCCATGTGAACCACTTCATCAGCACCAACCCTCTGGAAAGGTCTGGATGCCTCAAGGACAAAATCCAAATTGTCTGGGCAGTCAAAATACAGTCCATAACAAACTTCTAAGGAACAAGTCTAGTAAAATAGATTGTCATAACTTTTCCCCAAGGAAAAGGGAAAGCTAGCTTTTCTCCTTACTTAGTATGAAAGTAAACAAGGGTAATACTATTAATCAATACTGACACAAAAGTAGAGGATAATTTCTACCTAACACACATACTTTTTAAAGGAGGGTAACAAAAAACCCCACAAACCAATACAACACTCAACTAGAGAAGGAAAGATGCTCCTAATTTCTAGAGAGTACACCTAATACTAGGGAACACAGCTCTAATCTACTAGCTGCTCTGAGAAAGATGGACAATCATTTTCTATGTGATTTATAGCCTCTAAAAATCTACTGGAGAGCAAGTAATGAGTAGCAACTCCAAGGCACACAAGATCTCAGGGGAGCTCTGGTGGCCTAGTGGCAAGAAGCTGCACTGCAATCCCAGAGGCACATGGTTCGAAATCCACCAGATGCTCTGCCGGGAAAGGAGGGACAATCTCCTCCTGTACCAGTCAGATCTGATTTGATGGTACACAGACACACAAAATAATAATAAAATTAAAAAAAAAAAGATCTAATACTGCTGACACCTTTCCTGTCACCAATTTTAACTATCATTACACATCTGGCTCCTAGTTACTCTTCCCTTGCTTAACATTATCAGATTCTGCATAAAAATAAAAACCTGACTTATTAATATCCTCTGACAAAGAAACATGCCTGAGTAAAAAGTGAAGAAACAGCAAGAGTAGATGCTGTCATGTAAAGATACCACAGGCTTGAAAGTCATGAGAATTTAAAACTATTCTCCACCCCCACACCTCTATATATCAGTATTTTCTCTTTATGAGAAATTGAAGAAAGGATTAGTCCCCTTTTAGTTGCTAGCTGAAAAATCTCTTTTCAGAACTAACCACCCAGAAACAACAGCAAAGTTCAAAACAGCAGCAAACAATAAATGCTGACAAAGTTGTGGAGAGACTGGAACCCCTTTTCACTGTTGGTGGGAGAATAAAATTGTCCAAGCTCTATGGAAGGTAGTTTAGCATTTTCTCAAAAAGTTGTAAATAGAAATATCATTTGATCTAGCAATTCCACTCCTGGAAATATACCATAATGAAATCAGAACTGCCATCCAAACAGATATATGCACACCCATGTTTATTGCTACATTATTTACAATAGCAAAGAGATAGAAGAAACTCAAGTGCCCATCAACAAACAAATGATAGAAAAACTATGGTATATTCATGCAATGGAATATTATGTAGCTCTGAAAAACAATGAACTCATAACAATTATATAACATGGGTGACCCTGGAAGACATTATGCTCAGTCACAAAAGGATAAATACTGCACAGCCCACTGTTATAAAACAGGGGGTAGGGAGAACAGGATAAGAGTGGATAGATAACTGCATTGGAACAGATGAAGGAAAGGACTGTTTAAAAGGAATATATGACTTAGGCAGTATATGTATGACAACAGCCCAGAATAAAAGGTACATTGCAAAGACTACTGGAGAGGAGGAGGTAACTGTGCAACAATAAATGAGTTGTGGTTTTGTGTTTTTTTTTTTTTAAAAAGTCAACTTTGGGGAGAGGGAAGGAAGGAAGATGGGGCAAAATGTATTAACAATAATGAATAAAAATTTAACTTTTCTGTAAACTTTTGTTAAAATCATAATGAAAACTAAAAATTTTATTTAAAAAAATTAACCAAATGTTTTTAAAAACAGGTTAACTGGGGAGAGGGCTGGGAGGGGAGAAAAGTGCAACAACGAATGAATGGAAATCCAAAGTCTCTATAAATTTTTACTGAAATTAGTAATAAATTTAAATAAAACAAAAATAAAACAAAAAACTCCAAAAACAGGTTTACTGTTGCTTACTTTTAAAATTTAAAGAAAAAAAGAAAAATGTCAGTTTTCATATGTCCGCCTATAATTTAACTCATTAGAAGCAGGAATGGCATACACTTCCTAAGTAACATGCCTCCAGAAACTCTATGAAATTTGATAAATGTTGATAGTTGTAGAGGGGCTTCAGGCCTTTTGTTCACAGGGGCACTGTAAATCGTGCTCAACTTGAAGGCAATCAACAACAACAAAAACAATTTAATTCTACAGCTTCTTGTACCATTATCTATAGTTAAGATACTGTTGCAGTAAAATACGGTTCCACAATTGCATGATTTTCTAAGAAAATAGAGTAGAAAAGTCTTTAAGGTACCTATCACAGTAATCATTATGTATTTTTAAAGGTCCCAAAATTATACATTTATAAATACTTATAGAGATTTCTTGGAATTTTGAAAAAATATTACTAAATTTCTAAAGAGTTTTGTATGTAAAAGCATTAATCTGATTTTGCATTTGCTACTAGAATAATCAGAATTAAAAACCATCTGATATAACAGACTATGAAACAAAAAGTCTTCTCTCATCTTCCTTTAGGTGAAGGCTGACGTTTTCTGAGTCAAAATAAAAAGTATATTGGGGAAAAAAATATATTTCTAATTAGTATAACTATAAAGGATACGAAATAAAAGTAGTCATAAAACCAATTATTTTATTGCAGCTATAAAAAAGAGGCAGTATAATTGATAAAATAATTAGGAAAGAATATTTAGCATATTTTAAGATTTAAAATAGGAGGACACTTTACAAAAAACTTGGAAATAAAATTCTTAAACTATATGTAGAAATGTAACATTACAGAGTATTTTATAAAATACAGAGAAATATAAAAAGAATATTTATGTTCTAAGTCTGAAAACTATTAATAATGATCAAATATTTTAATTTACATTTCCTGGGTATGAGAATCATATTACTATACACATCTTCCAACCCAGGAGGCAATAGTTTCCATCAACCATGAGTGGTATCATCTTCTACAAAATCTTTGGCCATCTCTGCTGTGATCACATCAATATGACTAACCTAAAAGAACAAAGAATATTTAAAACAAAATCTGTTAAATCTTACATTAAAGCAAAAAATATAATAGTGTTATAGAAATCAAATAGGGTAATATTTAAGATATTAAGCTTATCTTTTATAAATTTACATATCAACCCAAATCATTATAAGGACTATTAAAACTTTACTTCAAATGGTGTTTGTTCAATGTTACAGTAGGAAAATGCATGGGTTTAAAAGTCATTCTGTCCATTAATGCTCTAAAGATATTTGAGTAAGTACTTATATCTAAATATTTTAACTATTTCTTTTTCTCAGTTTTTATATACCTCAAATCTAGCCCAAATTAATCTTTGGTATTTCATCAAACAATCCTAAAAAATAGGGAGAGGAGGAAGAGCTCTTTGGCCCTGCCAAATATAAAAGAATGTATTTAAATGTTATAAACTGTATATTAAAGCAGCATTGACATAGATTGGAAAGGAAGATACTGTTTAATATTAAAGAAGAGAAATGAGTAAAATGAATGGCACAAAATAGTGTTAAAGGTTTTTTTGTAGATATCATCACTAGATAAGTAATGACTTACTAAATTTTCTTTCAAGACAAAACCAGAATTAAACAAAACTGATTAAACACAGCACAGAATTTAATGTAAAAACAGTATTACCTTGTTTCTGAACTTTACACCATAGAACTTGTCAGCTGACTCTAGCAGTTCAGGCCTAAATGTGGTTGTAATGAACTGAGCATGTACAGCAAGTTCCATAATCATATCTGTTAAAAGGAATATTTTAGTAAGTTCCTTTCTCAGGAGACTTGAATATTTAAAAAGCAATCTTTAAACTAAAATTCAAAGCTGTCAAATTTTTTATTTTACTTTTTTTATTAATACAGAAGTACAGAAACTATCAACCTGCTTTCAAAAACAGGAAGAGATCTTGAACCTCAATATTTTAGTTACAACATACTGTTTTCCTTTAATAGAAAGAAGCAACTTCTAGAGCAGCATAAGAAATGCCAGAGAAAATACAAGAACAACCTTCCCACTGCTCCCAACTACCCATAGGTCAACATATAGAAAAACAAAAGGAGATTCTTTAAACAGAAGCAAGTCTGGTAATGGCAAGAGACTTCACTGGATGAGAATTTTTTAACTAGTTCCAAGAATCACAGGCATCTCATTTTAGTGTACTTTATTCATGCCACAGATAATTCATTTAAAAAAAAAAAAAAGGAAGTTTGTGGCAAACCCTGTTGACTAGGTGAGCAAGTCTACTGGCACCACTTTTTTGCAATAAGATGTACTCATTTGATCTATGTCATATTTTAGTAATGATGATATTCCAAACATTTCCATAATGCTATTATTGCACACTTAATACATCATATTGTAGACAAAACTTTCACACACATCGGGAAATAAAATAATGGCTGTGATTTGTTTTATTACAATATTCACTTTAAGGTGGTATCTTAGAAATGAATTAGCAGTATCTCTCTCTTAAGTGGGGGTGTTAGATGCCATCAGGCTAACTATGACTCATGGCAACAGATCGCAACCTTGTCTTTCTCAGAGCAGTTGATACATTTTTCTAAAACCTGTTAAAAAGAGTAACTTTCCAAATACCTCAGGCAACATGAAGCCACAATCAAGTGGTAAGCTATCAATTTTAGTTACATTTGCACTAAGAAGTAGGAAACGGCAACTATACCTGACACAGCTTTTCTGTGCTGAGCATCAAGAGCCTGGTCAATCTCATCAAACAAATAGAAAGGAGCTGGGTCACATTTCTGAATTGCAAAAATCAGAGCAAGAGCCACCAAAGACTTCTGTCCACCTGAAAGCTGTTGCATTTCTCTCATTTCACCCTGTTTCCCTGTAAATGACACCTAAGAAAATATTTAATAAATTAGTATCTTAAAGAAGTATATAACAATTACTATCTCTTAAAATGGTATATAATTTGCAAAATACTATATAAATAATACTCTAGGGACAATGGAAGTGGAATATTTTACCCTAATTCCAACTCCAGTGAACTGGTCAACTGATGGGACACTGCTCTGTGATCCAGAACCCCTCTCACTTTCACCACTCCCTTCTCCTTCATCCTGGGACTGACTGCCCTCCACATCTCCTTTCTTCATCACCAAAGTAGCTTTGCCACCAGGTACCAACTTCTGGAATACTTCACTGAAGTTCTTTGATACCTTAAAAAAGAAAAAGACTGTATTCAAATATACTATTTATAGTAATACTCAAAACAATATACAAAAATAACTTCAGTACTTTTTTTGAATTATAAACAAGGACAGGCAATGAATGAATGGAAATCCAAAATCTCTGTAAATGTGTATTAAAATTAATAATTAAAAAAAAAAACCAACAAAAAACAAGGACAACTACAGATTGAATCCTGTCTAAGAGCTTTGTAAAACACTAAAATTATATGTTAACATCCTATATGCTGCTTTTGTTCACATGTATTATTAGGTCTTTTTATAAGTGGAGGGGAAGGTTTAAAATCTTTATAAACTAGTTAGTAATGGCAACTTTCATTTAGCATGTGTGTTTTAACTATTGAGAAAAACATACCTGTTTGAAAGTTAACTGAATAGCTTCATATTTTCGGAGTTCAAGTACATTCATTAATTCCATGATTGATTTGTACCCCCTATCTAACTCTTCTTGCCGCTTTATTAACTTTTCTTTCTGCTCAGAGAAATTTACAAACTGGTCCAAAGCTTTTTTGTTAACATGGCTGTACTTCTTCAACTCTGTGTTGCACTGTTCAAGTTTTCTAAACAACTAGAGAGAAAACAGAAGTCTGGATCAACAAATATGCTCAATTTTAACGATTCTGAAACAAGGAAGTTTCCAACAAGGCTGCTAATTTAAAAATAGTAAGTTTTACCTGTTTGAGGCTCAGTGTCTGGTATTTTTCAAATGCTTCTTGGGGAAGTGATCCAAGCTCTCGGATTTTTTTCATACACTCTTCTTTCTTCTTCAGCAGCATGCCTTGTCGATTTGTCATTTTTTCTAGTTCTTTAGTATCATGGTTTATAGCATCCATGTGCTCTTTTTCCATGTTTTTCCAGCGCTCCATACTTTTCTGAAGCTCCTTAATGCCTGCTTCTGTTTTATCAATAGAATTGTCTAGGTCTAAGATGGAAAAAAAATGTGGCCATGGTATTTATCTAAATATTCTTTCAGCATTGCTTTTTTAAAAAAAAATAAACTATTTTAATGATCAAATATATCTAAAGAAACACATTTTAGATTTTTTTTTGTTTAAATTTGTACCAAATTAGACCTCTACATGAGAAAAAAAGTATATAATTTCTATTATTTACTATTTCTTATGTATGGGAAATAATTTCTTCTCATCAATTAAATATTAAGTAAATTCAGAATTTTAGCTTCAGAATTGAACATGTATTTAAATGAGTAACTTATGATCTCTATGAAGTTACTTCAGAAAATAAAGGTTATTATTTGTAACCAACATCCTAACTAACTCCATTCACCACAAAATGTTCCTAATGATGGAAAACATACAATAAAGCTTTTGCCTATTTGGATGAAGATCATTTTGTATCCAATAATTTTATAAAACAAAAAAACTAACGACGATATAAATTTTTTTTTACAGAACAAAAACCCTTACCCTCTGACCGTGCCATAGTATCTTTGACTCTCTTATTGATGGCTTCAAGTTCTGATGTTGTGGCAGTGAGTACGGTTCCCCCTTCTGTTTCTCTCAGTTCATTAAGTTCCTTCAACCAAAAAGAACTTATGAACATTCAACCACAAAATGTAATCTTGTTTGCTTCAAAATATTTAGACTGACAATCTTTTCTATAGCTTTGTTTAAAGACTCAAGAAAACCAATACACTTCACGTAATACCAAATATAGTATCCACTTAAAAAAATGGTATCATTACCACACATTTTCACATATGACTACTACTGAGAAAATATTAATGTTTATTAAACATCTACAATATAGGAGGATGGCTTGCTTTATACTGGAAGAATGGAAGCTAAAAACAAAAAAAATTTTAAACAAATTGCCCAAGATCACACACTAAAAACTCAAGTGGCCAGACTGCTAGACCTCCTGTCCTTAAACACCTGAGATCAGAGACTTAATATAACCACTCTGAACAGAAACAGTCACCAAAGAATCTTCAAAAACAACATACCTGTTCGACTTGGTCTAAGCGTTTTCTCAGATTCTCATTGAGGTATGTTTCTACTCGAGTGATAATACCTTCTAATTTAATTCGTTCATTCAGCAACTGTCTGTTTTCCTAGAATCAAGAAGAAAAATTACTTCTCCACACAAGAATGCACATTTCTCATACAACCAGTCTTTTTCATTACTGGTGCTTATAAGTGCTAAAATGACTTCTTATATTTTTCTAAAAAGCCTTATGTTTCATGTCTTCACTCCCTTATCTAGTCAACCACCAATTTTTGGTGCCTATGTTTGTTTACAGAGAGCTCTGGTGACTTAGTCAGAAGGAAGACATGCTGCCCACCCAAAGGCTACACCTGTCTGATGGTTCGAATCAACCAGTGGATTCTCAGGAGAAAGATGGGCAATCTCCTCCCACATGATTTACAGCCAGAGAAACCCAACGAGGGGTCAGCACTGAGTAAGGTGAGACTCGGTGGCAATGAAAAAGACTATAAGGTATGCTCTGGAAAGTAGTAGGATTTTCTTGCTTTTTATTTTTGGACTCTATTTTGCATGTTTATATCTTTGCATTGTGCTGTGTTGGGGTGGAATGTTCTATATATCTAGATTAAGGGTAGTTGGTTTACTTGATCCACACTGGTAAAAAGATGGCTTATAGTTCCTACATGCAGATGATATAATAGTGTGCAGAGAAAACCCCAAGGACTCAACCAAATAACCTATTAGAGCTAGTGGACCAATTTAGCAGAATAGCAAGATAAAAGATATACAAAAGTTGGTGGATTCCTCTACAGTAACAAAGATAACACAGAGAAGAAAGATAAGAAAAGCAATACCATTTATAATAGCCAACCACAAATTGAGATACCTAGGAATAAACCCAACTAGAGACACAAAAGATCTTTAGAAAGGAAACTACAAAAACTCTTCCATGAGAAACAAGAAAAAAATTAAATGGAAAAATGTCCCCTGCTCATGTATAAAAGACTCATTATAGTGAAAATGACAATCCTACCAAAAGCAATCTGTTTAATATAATCCCAATACAAATACCAAATTCATTTTTCAAAGAAATAGAAAAGGCATCTGTTGAGTTTATACGAAGAAAGAGACTCCAAATAAGCAAAGCACTACTGAGTAAGAATGAAGTGGAGGCATAGCACTCTCTGATCCCAAAACCTACTATACAGCTGTAATAACCAAAAGAGCATGGTTACAAAGACAGGCAGATATACCAACGGAACAGAACTGAGAACTCAGAAATTAACCCATCTACCTGTGGTCAACTAACATTTGACAAGGAAACAAAACCTTAAAATGAGAAAATGACAACCTCTTCAACAAATGGTGTTGGCAAACTGGACTACGACCTGCAGAAAGCTGAAGCAGGATCCACACCTCTCACCACACACAAATCAACTCAAGGTGCATAATAGTAAAACCCCAAACAATAAGGATCATAAGAGACAAAGTGGGACCAAGTTTAGAACGCCTAGCCTATGGTATAAAGAGGCTGAAAATTACAGTCAGAAATACACAACTAGGAGAGGATAAAACTGATGAATGGGACCTTCCCTGTGCACATCAAAAACTTTTTCCTACAGACTGAAAAGAAAACCTACTGACTGGGGGGAAAAAAAAACATTTGGCAATACCACCTCAGATAAGGGTCTCCTAACAAAAGTTTACAAAATACTCCTGGGCCTCCAGAAGACAAAGACTGGTAACTCAATTACAAAATGGAAAAAAAGACTTTTCACAGAGGAAGACATCTGGATCACTAACAGACACATGAAGAAATGCTTAAAATCACTGGCAATAAGAGATGCAAATCAAAACCACAATGAGGTATCATCTCATCCCAGTAGCAGTGGTAAAGTTTAACAGGACAGTAAGCAACAAATGTTGGAGAAGATGTGGAAAGAGAGGAATTCTCATACAATGTTGGTGGAATTGTAAAATGGTATAACCACTCTGGAAGACAATTTGAAATTTCCTCAAAAAAGCCGAATACAGAAAATTCCCTATGTCCCAGATCTTTCACTGCTAGGAATATACCCTGAAGAAATTAGAACTGAGACACAAATGGAGGTTTGTACACAAATGTTCATAGCAGCAGCATGCACCATTGCAAGAACATGGAAATAGTCCAAATATCTCACCACAATTGAATGGATTGAGAAATTGTGGTACATTTACACAACAGAATACTATGTAGCATTTAGGAACAATGACTTTGGAAATTACTACATAACTTGGGAGAGACTAGAGAGCATTATGTTGAGTGAACTAACTCACTCAGTCTCATAGGATAAATACTGCATAAGACCATGATTGCACAAATAGGTAACTAGTAAAATGTGTATGAGGATTCAAGGAGGGGAGGATAGGAGCAGAGGGGTGAGGATGGGCAGGGGGGATATCACAGAATTGCAAACTTTAGTGAGTGTAGGGAGTGAGGGATAAAGGAAATGGGAAAGATCTGGAAAGACAGGGTAATAGTGGGCATAGTTCAATGGTGATTAATTTTATAAAACAATGAATGGGAATGATTATATGAAGCACAATGTGAATGAAGGATACTGTGAAACAAAATATACATGAACTTTGTAGGCAAACCAATATAAAATAAAAATTTTAAGAAATTAAATGTTGTTGAAATGTGTGACCAAAACTTATTAATTACCTAAACGTACTCAGAAGAATAACACAAAGCTAAGAAGTTCAGACCTACAAATGATAAATGTGTATTAAATAAGATCAAGAAAAGAAAGATTTCTTGGATATTCTTAACATATCCAATCAGTTTAGAAAAGTGTGTTGAATTTTATTTACTCTAATGCAGCTCTAGTGGCAAGAAGTGGCCTAGTGGCAAGAAACTGTGCTGCAATTCCAAAGGCACATGGTTCTAGACCCCCAGCTGTTCTGTGGGACAATGGGGACTCTCCTCCCATGCAATTAACTGCCTCTGAAAACCCTCCAGAGGGTCAGTTATGGGTCATCAGTTCCTACTCTACAGCACACAACAGAGCTCTGGTAGCTTAGTGGGACGAATCTGCACTGCAATCCTAAAGGCATGAAGCTCAAATCTGACAGTTAATCTGCAGGAGAAGGATGGCCATCTCTTCCTGAGTGATTACTGCCTCTGAAAACTTGCTGGAGGGTCAGCTATGGGTTGGTTCCAACTCAGTGGTATACAACAAAACAATTTATACTTAAAGTTTAAGTCTCAGTTTTATATTTGAATACTCCATTCTTCCAAATTTCTTTATCTTGTAAGAAAGACATTTAATACAATTGCCTATATCAATGAAGATTTTTTCCCATCAATTGTACTTGCCTGCTGAAGCTGACGAATCTCATCATTTAGTGCATCTACTCTCTTCTGATCTTCTAGACTAAGCTGAGAAAGCAAATCTGTTCCCAGTTCTGCTTTTAATGATTCTCGTGTAGACTCCATAGCATGCAGACTTGCCTCCAAACTTTGCAAGCTCCGTTGCTGTATGATAAATTAACAATTTATTAATAAAGGCACTAGTTATTGCATATATTAAATAAAGAAAAACTGGAAATTATCTCTTTCATGTAACGTGAGCCAAGTAAATTTTCATACCAACTCATATGTTAGTTATTAAAGTTTATTATTAGGACTGTATCACAAAAAGAAAAATGTTTAAGAGTAATACTACGGGAGTATGGAGAATAGATCATACTCTACAATCAAACTACACAAAGCCTTCATGCTTATTCATAAGAACACAAGGGAAAACTGTAATATGTTGTAAGATGGTAAACACTGTGACTGATTCTTTTTTGTAAGCTTATTTTAATATTATTTATGCACTCCACATGGAGCTCTGATAGTGTAGTGCATATGTTGCACTAGTAACCAAATGGCTGGTGATTTGATTTCACCAAAGGGGGGTTGCTATGAGTTGGAATCAACTTGATGAAAGTGGTTTAATGCAGTAGTTAATTACCTGGCTGCTAATCTGAAGACTGGCTACTCCATCATCAAAATCCATCAGCTACTCTGCAGGAATAAGCTGTGGCTAACTGCTTCTAAAAGCTTCACAAGCAAGAAAAGCCTCAGGCGCAGTTTCACTCTATCGCACAGTCACTGTAAGCCAGAACTAACCTGACAGGAACTGGGCTTTCCTTTCTTTTTTTACAGAAAAAGAAAATGCACTACTTTCATTTTTTTGGTCAAAACTTCAAATTTATTAGACTAATATAACCAAGTTTTCTTTCTATCATTCATTGTAATACTATCTGAACAAAATAATAAATATTCAAACAACTCTATAAGTAATTGTCTTACAGACAAAAACAGATACTGACAGACAGTACTATTATGCCATAGCTCAAAATGTCTATTAGTCCATTAAAGTTCAACTGTAGCCTACAGAAAAAGATGGTGAGTGCACCTGGGAACAAATGTGATACAGACAGATGTAGATATAGCCAAAGTATGGGCTCAAACAAATAAGGAACATATACTCAAGAAACCCATGAGTGATAAAAGGCATATCTATCTGATCAATAGTATTTAACAGTATAAAACACAACATATATACTGAAACACAATGTACATAAATGATTGTCCAAAAACCAAATTTAAAAAACCCACCCAGGTAACACATGAGCTATTTTAAATTTTTTAAATTCTATACAATTAAAACTCTACAACAGTTAGTATACATAGTTACGAACCTTAGGCATAAAGGTTTTCTCTGACTGTTGCCTCTTTTCTTTCAGCATCTTCATTTCTGATAAGATACTATCTCGGGATGCTTTAAATTTCCTTTGTTGAGTCTCTATCTGCTGCATTTGGTTCATCAGCTGATCAATTTCATTATTAATCCATATACAAGGCTAAGGAAAACACTTTCCAGGTTGTTAATGTATCATTATGTTCTGAATTCTCATCAGTCCTTATAAAGGGAACATTGTTTACCATTCTTCCCCCCCTCCCCAATTATTTCCTCAGATTGTGGAGCGTAATCATATTGAATTAAATACAGACTGAACAAGTTCAATCATGAAAGCAGCTTAAAGTATTTCACACCATTATTTTGCTTCCAACATAACATGGACACAATTTTACTAACAGCTGTGTTTTAGAAGTTTTTTTTTCTTGGGGAAGAAAACCTTTAGATAAGCTTATTTTGTCCCTCTTCCTTCTTGGTAAACATTAAAAGAAGGCAAAACAAATCTAACATTAGTTATTGTTACCATTTTTCCACACAACAAATTGTTGTTGTTGTTGTTAAGTGCCGTCGAGTTGCAGGCAACTCATAGCGACCCTATGAAGGAGAGTCATCGATGCTTGGGTGCCTTTCATCCCCTCTCCAAGTTCATAGGATTTCCGGAGGCAGGCTATTATGGACGTGGATGCCACTCCTCCTTCCACGCTTGTTCAATCGGGGAGCTCCACCCCACTCTCAGTCCGCACTGGGTAGCCAACCATTAACGCATTTGACACATCCGTGTCACAGTGTTACACAATAAATACCAACTACATAATCTATTATGCTTAAGGCACTATGTTAGTGAGTTTTGTATGAAGAATAGGCCTTTCTCAGCATGAGAGAACTAAACTTAGCTGGATTATTAAATATGGGAAGGAATCTCTTACTAGTATCCTTCTTTATTATTTTCTAATACTTTTTTGTACTTAAAACTTCCCAAATTTGGGCAGTTCTTAAACTTGTAGATTTCTACAAAATCAAAATCAAGGTACCTTTTTTTCTATGCTATCAGGTGCCTTGGTGAAGCAGAAGCTATAAACTCAAAGAAAACTTTTTAAAAAGGCCAGTGTTAAGACTTCCTTCATGGAAGAATAAAAATTATTAACTTTATTTTAATGCTTATGTTTAACTGGCTATATTTTTAGTAATGTGACAGGATGAAAAGTACATATATTTTCACCCTATTCTAAAGGCCATGGTTATTTTAAGAAAAAGCACTGACAAAATGGTTTTATTTATGAGCTAAACTAGCCATTTTTGTGCAATAACATTTTTATTTAAAAGAATGACTGTATAGCTCCGGTGGCCTAGTGGCAAGCAGCTGTGCTGCAATCCCAGAGGTTCATGGTTTGAATCCACCAAATGCTATGCTGGAGAAGTAGGGACAATCTCCTCCTATACCAGTCAGATCCGATTTGACGGTACACACAAAAATTAATAAAATAAAAAAGTAACAACAAAAATGACTGTAAGACCAAATATAGTTACTGAAGACTTTTGTCATTTGACAGAAATTTCCTTGAAAATAAAGAAATAAGCTCAGTTCAAGGAAAACAACTGTAGTATTTGCTGTCAATCATAAACTCGCTTTCAAATGAAAGTGAGAAATTTAGAAAATATTCTTCAACACCATGAACTTGACAGCTTCCCAATACTTAAAAAAGATACTGTATAATAAAACAAGTCAGCACTTGGAAGATCTACGCAACTCATGATAAATGCATGTTACAAATCATGCACGGCTAAGCAAAAAACAGGTTCTAGATATAAACAGATCAACAGATTTTCACACCACTATGTATGATACCTTCATTCAATACCAATGGATTTCCATGCAGCCATGTATGAAATCTGTATTAAACTAATCTTTAAGAACTCACTTATTACTGAGTGTTATAATCACTGTCATATCAAAGAAGATTATTCATAATAATCTGAAAAAGCTTTTTATCTATACAGGTCAAATTTTCTTCAGATCAAACAAAATAACAGGCTATCCATGTCACTAAATGGGACATGTAGAAATTACTGAATCTGTATGTAACTTTTGTGTATATTCTCAAAAACAACAAAATACCCCAACATATCATGAAAGACTGCAGAAATATATGATTGAGAATTGGTCTTTTAAGTCAGAAAGTCTAACTTTACAAAAATGTAAAACAAAGTCATTCTTACCAAATGTTTTAAAAAATGCTTTTCATAAATAATATGCATAGTAACACGCAATGCTGTCATTTTTTAAAGTTAGTTAATATTTTAACTTTCTCAGTTTTAATATTTAATATTTTACGTATCAGTAGATAAAACACACTAAAAAGATTTTTTCCCCCAAACTACATAGGTAGTTTTCTCCAAAAAAAGGTGTCATCACTGGAATTAGCTATATAACAAATAGCTAAGCAAAGGGTCTATATTAAAAGTTTTCAGGGTTTTGCCACAGTTTTTAGAAGTCAGACAAACAGCTTAAGTGCTGGAATAAGCAGCTAATGTGGTGGTCTAGTGGTAGAGGCTGTGCTAATGCCCCGAAGGCATTCAGTCAGAATCCACCAGCTGCTTGAGGGGAGAAAGATAAGCAATCTCTGCAAACCCACTGGAGGGTCAGCTATGATTCCTTCCTGACTCAGGGCACACAACAATGTGAAAGACATAGAAATTTTCCTCACTGGATAAGAAATACACACCTCATATGCAAAAATTATTATAACCAAAACAGCTCCTTATCCAGACTATCTTAATTAAATACAAGACCAAAAAAAAAAGGATATTTTCAATATTTCTACGCAGGTTTTCATTGAGCTTTGCTTCAAGGTCACCGAGTTCTTCTTCTGCTTTCCTAACATCTTTCTGTAATTCAAGTCTAGACTTCCTGGTGTCGTAATACCCTCCTGTCAGAGCACCGCGATGACTAACTTGGTCACCTATTTTAAAAAAACCAAAACAAAAGGAAGGTAGTAATTCTGTGGAACAACTTCTTTATTCAATAATAAAGTAACTTACAATCAAATAATTAATATAAGTCTTTAACTGATAATAATTACTTATTAATTACAAATAAATTCACTTCAGCTGAGAGTTGTGCTAGTGATCAAACTCAGCAACATTAATTATTGAGAGAAACTGGTATTACACGATGTGGAAAGTACACATTCCTCATGGAGTAGTTGTGACAACAATGTCATACCTGAATTTAATCGTAACAAAATAGCACACGTCCAGAAAATGTGACATTCTACCAGAGAATAAGCATTATGGGAAGCCAAAGGAGAGGGAATAAGTGGAAACATCATATATTAAAAAAATCTACAGATGCAGTGTAAACATCCTTGATTTTTAATCTGACAACTTCGATGATATAATTAAGCTAATGGCAAATTTCTTAAGTATTTTCTGAGTTTAAAGGCTTATGACTCAAAAAAAAAAAAAAAAAAAAAAGGCTTATGACTCATGTTGTCTCATGGGACAACTCAGCGAAATGTTATAATCCCAAAGCTGATGTTCCACATCCTTGTGAAATGTGTAGTGTCTGGAGTTGTAAAAGTTTCTAAGTAGTCATCTAAGATACATCAGGTGGTCTCTACTTGTCAGGATCAATAGAAGGAAACTAGTCTCAAAGATGACACCTGTCTATAGAGTCAAGAGCCTATACATGCCACAACCTCACCCACCCTGACACCAGAAGAATTAAAGAGTGCCTCGCTACTACTCCTGACTCCTCTGAACAGAACCACAGTGGACAGATGGGAGAAAAATGAAACACTGAAATAAAAAGCTGATTCTGTGGAATGCTGGAAACGGAAACATTTATTTGGTTCAAGAGAAATCAAAAGAATTGACAACAACATACACACCTATTTTCCATATAAAATATGAAACAAAAAGCTCAAGTATAATAATGATACAACTGAGGTTATATAGAAAATTCTTATTCATAAGAGATAAACTGTATTTTAGAGTGAAAATGGCACTTTGCAACTTACTCTCACACAGCACAATAAAAATGTACATATATATACACATAGCTAAAAGGGTGGATTGTGGGCTTACTTTCTATCTGCAACAAATGAACTGTAAACAAATAATAAGGGCAGGGGAATACAGGATTCTCAATCTGGATTACAAAAAAACCCCAAAAAACAAAAACAACACACAAAAAAAGTGATTTTGTTGCAGGGGTGAGGATTTTCATCTTTCATTTTTATTAACGTTTAACTAGAATTTAGTGTTTTCCTCCATAATCAATTAAACAAGAATCAGAGTAATACCTGTGGTTTTCTTATTAACAGAAATACCCTTTACATGTTTCACTATATTTGACCCACAGCTAAAGTCTGCTTTAAATTGTTGTTGTGTGCCTTCCAGTTGTTAGCAACTCACAGTGACCCTACAACAGCTCTGAACCCTGTTCTATCCTGTGCCAGCCTCACTGTCTCCGACACATCCACCATTACCTCGGTCACTAAGTTAATCAATCTCATTCAGGGTCTTCTTCTCTTGTGCTGTTCCTCACCCTCCCAAGCATGATGTTCCTCTCCAAGAATTGGTTCCTTCTTGCAACATGCTCAAAGTATGTCAGTGGAGCTTCAGAAACCTTGCCTCCAAGGGGCAGCCTGTTTTAACCCTCTCCAGGATGAACCTGTTTATTTTCTTAGCAGTCCATGATATATTCAATACTCTTCTCCAGCACAACTCAAGACATAAATTCTCCTATCATCTCTAGTCCTGTCCAGCTTTCTGACGCACAGCAAGTTAATGCAAAGACCATGCCACGATCAGGTGCACCTTGGTCTCCAGACTGACATCACTGCTCTTCAATACTCTGAAGAGGTCCTTGATAGCAGATTACTATATAATATTTCTGAATAGTAAAATTATTACATCATTGTAATTAATTTCCTTTTTAAAGAACTGATTCATTTTATGCATTTAAAAACCATGATTTTGAAAAAAGTCCATAGATTTCAAACAGTCAAAGAAATCCATGTGCCAAAAAAAGGTAAAGAATCTTTACTATGGACCAAATGATTAGACTTAAAAACATGTCAACTAAACAAAGTGTGAGCACTATAGCATGACTTGAATAAAGAAGTTATTTGAAAAATAACTGGAATAATTAATGCTAATTTTAAAATATTTAATAAAGAATTACTGCTAATACTTTTGTGTGCAGAAAGTAAAACTCATCCTTTTTTCCAAGAGCTCACAGGTTTAAAAACTTTTCTCAGCTTCTGTAAGTCCTCTTAAAATGAACTGAATTATCATGTAAGATCATCAAACATAGTGTTAAATGATTTATTAGAACTGATTTACTCAAAGCTAAGCATCAATACTACAAACCTTCTAGAGTAATGCAGTCCATGGTGAAAGCACGGGCCAGCTGAGTTGAAACTTCCATGCTACGGCAAATTAGTGTTTTCCCAAAAACATGTTTGAAAGCTTTGTCAAATCTGGGATTGTACCTCAGTTTACTGATCATAGGAATAGCATCCTAAAAGCGAAAATGTTTTGTCAGCAAGCAAAGAAATTTTTTAAAAACTTGTGTTAGAAATATAAATGACATATTTATGAAATTAAAACATCACCACAAATGCCTTTGCATTACATTTCAAAATTATTCGTCTTTATATGAAAAACTATCCTTTTAAAATATGCAAAAGCATAATGTTTTTATTATTAGCCGGTACACTGTATTATAATTTACCTTGGTGAGACTATACACAGGACAACATACTAGTTCAACAATTTCTACATGTACAATTTAGTGATAGTGATTTTATTCTTCAGGTTATATAACTGTTCTCGTCCTGCTTTTCTGACTTGTTCATTTCTCAATAATCTAAACTCTCTGCTCCCTACAATTCTTATGTAATATCTGGAGTTACTGTTCTGTTGTCAAAATATCTGACATCCTCCAATAATGTCCTATCCTTATATTTGTTAACACTTTGCACATTAGGAATTGTTTCATGTCTTCACTGTGATTTTTTTCCCCCCTTATCAAGTATGCACCATGAAAAGGCGGCAGGTTTCTCTTGCTAACCAGGGGCTCCCAATGTACAATGCCTGACACAGAAGGTACCGAAAAGAGAGAAAGTAACTTAATGAAAGAGAGAGCAAGCCATCTTAACACACATCGACTCACATTAGTTTCAGGATAGGCGGTATCCCTGACATCCAACTTGTTGAGTGGCAGGAAAGTTACCTCTCCAGGAAGATTCATTTTATTAAATTCCATTAAAATCTTTGTGCTGACTTCATCTGAATCAACAATATGATAAAATAACCTACATGCAAACAGAACAACGTATGTCTTTACTGCTAGACATCAAAAAGGTAAAATTATTCAAGTATTAACAACTTTTTTCCCATGTTAACACATTTATATTACTAAAGAACCCTCAACCTATTTAGAAAATGCCACTGTGGGGATGGAGTTAGAGGAGAGGAAGTTCTAAAAGGGAAACATGTACCTTTTGCAATTAGAAACCAAAGCTCAGTACCTTCATTCTTAACTGCTGTTGCTATATGTACTGCTGAATCAGAAACAACTCCTAGCTAACCCTCCGGCTGAGTTTTTTTCAGGGGCAGTAAATACCTTGGGAAGAAACTGCCCATCTTTCTCACAAGGAGCAGCCAGCAGAATGAAATGCATGCCTTTGGCTTGATAGTACAACTCCTTGCCACTAAGCTATCAGAGCTCCCTACATCCTTAATGAGAAGGTTAAATAAAAAACCACAAGCACAAAATAACGGAAGACACTGTTAATGCTGAAACTATGAAAAGGCATTTTTCTTGTTACCTTTATGCTTCCTTTTCCCTAAAAACTTTAAAGATCAAACAAAAGGCATTCATTACCTGTTCCCAGCAGTAACTTCCACACAAGTGTAGAAAGCTGGCTCACATTCAAAGTTATTCATCACAATGCCATGATAGCCATTTTGAACATGCTGGTTTATTCCTTTTCGACGAAAATGGTCCAGGACTTTGTTTATGCTGTCTATTCCGTTTAAAATGGCCTATTAAATTGTCAGAAGTCAAAATATTAAAATAGCCATTACTAATAAAAAGTCTACTTGTAAGAAAGCAGTCTATTACCCACACAATTTAAAATACCTAGGAGATTAAAGGAAACTTCCTGTGAGTCACACAGGTCACTTACTGAAATGATGATACAATAGCACCTTGTACTATGTTGTGTTCTAGAATACGAGCATTAAAAGAGGCTCTACATCTGAAAATCCAATGTCCTATCAGTAAAGGCTGTTGTGAAGCTGATTACAGTCACTGCTATTTCATATTTATTTAAAGGACAAGGAACATATACTCTACTCTCCAATTTATTACCTAGAACCAACAACCCACAGCTTGAAAAATAAATCCTTTTACAATGACTAAGTAACCCACAGTAAACAGAATAATAAAAAAAAACTCTGCCCACCTTCCCTGTTGCCGCTCTAAGAAGTTGCTGCTTCTTCTCAAGATCTTCTCTTTTAGCAGCAAGAGCTTGTTGTTCTGCATTCTCTTCTCTCCACAAATAACTAAGCAATAAAAATTAGAGTGCCCTTAATTTCAGAAGGCTATGAAGATGCAGCAACAATATACAGTTGATAGTAGAATATTTAAATAAAATTTGAACAGATTATTTTTAACACCAAAATTCTAAAAGTAACTAGTATTACTCAAAAGAACTGGGGTGTAACTTAGTTTACATACTAACTTTCTTTCACTTTGTAATTCATCTTTCTTGTTTTTCACTTCATAGTATTTTCTGTCCAGTTCTTCCACTCGAGCTTTCACTTCATTAAGATCCTGATCCAATTTCTATGTAAGTAAAAACAATTCAAATTTAAAAACCAATTGCATGTAAACAAGCCAAGAGTGACAATAAGTAGATCAACGGCTGTCTAGGGAGAAAGAAAGAGGGAAGAGGAAGCAAACAAATGATCAAGGACATGATCACTAACGATCGTGATGGGTTTCATGGGTATCAAAGCTTATCAAATGATTTATTTTTTTTCCAAATGATATATTTTAAATGAGTTTATTTTATGTCAATATACTTCAAATTTTTTGAATATTCTTTTAAAGAATATACTTCATAGTCTATTTTAGGAAATTCTGCAAAAATGAAATTATAATGCTTTAAACCTTATAACTTTAACACAAAAGAACTGGAGAAAATATATTCATAAATTCTCAAAATACTGCCATGACCAATTTTCAAAATGACCTACACACATGCAAAACGAACCTATTTTAGATTATTATTTTACAACCAAGAGCAATGTTGCTGTTATTTATTTACTATCGAGTCAGAACTGACCCATAGTTCACCCTCCAGTGGGATTTTAGAGGTAATAAGTAAATCACACCAGAGGAGATTGTACATTTTCTCCCACAGAGCAGTGGATGGATTCGAACTGTATGCCTTTGGATTGACAATGCAGTTCCTTACCACTAGGCAGGGTATATTCAAGAGGCAGAATTTTTAAGTATGGAAAGTACTGCTTTTTAAAAGAAGAGTTAATGAATTATATACACAGAATCAAAGACAATAAACCCAATACCCTCTGCATAAAGTTTAAGGGAAAGTGGCACTAATCTGTTTAGAAAGTTTCTAGTTACTATGAGCCAAATATCAAGGATCAAAACAATATTCTTGCCTTCTAGGAGATAAGCTCTGGTGGCCTAGTGGTTAAGAAGCTGTGCTGCAATTCCAAAGGCACGCAGTGTGAAAAGACAAGCTGCTCCGCAGGAGAAGGAAGTTATCTTATGCTTGCTATATTTTGCTCCATTAGAATTTGTGCCAAAGGATGAGTGGTGAAGGGGAGGGCTGGGGGTAAATCAAACAGACATAACTATTTGAGGATTTCTAATGCCAACAAAATTAAACTAGAGATTAAAATATGATAAATAAGAATCTAAACTATAGTCTTTTAATATATATTTATCTATTTTTTTAACTTTTAGATTAAAAAAATTTTGTCAAAATTTTTGACTCATAAAACCTAACATAGACTGTCTTCATTCTACACATGAAAAATTTGATACTTCATCCTATTTGAAACCCTAAAAGTAAATAGCAACAATGACAGAACTGTTCCCTTAAATGTATTTGTTCATAGGTAAAAGTATAGACCCTGCTGAGTCAGTACTCTAAATGTTACACTGTGTTAATAATTAGCAATACAGTTTACAGTATTTCTAAAATGCCACTTTCTTCTTCCAAGCACAGAAATGGCTAACTTTCTAACAAAATGTTATGATATTCAGGAATAAAGCACTTCACCTGTAAAACTGTATGTGTGGTGTTAAGGGTTTATTGTTCAAGATGGTTTCCTGAGCCACTGAATGACTCTGCCACGTGGATGGACAGGAATATGTTAATAGGGCCTTAGCTTAGCCACAAGGGGATTTGCTAGTCTGGCCACTAAACTGAGGAGATCCAGCAGCCAAATTAGAGCCCCACTAGCAAAGCAGCAAGATAATGCAACTTGTCCTTTGAGACCAGCACCTGTGGGAGCAGCAACCATCGCAGCCACAGCAGAGAACCAGAGATTGAGGTGAGACAGAGTGCACCTGGACACTGCTCAACCCACAAGAACCAGAGCCAAGAGCTTTCCCTTAACTTGAATACAGCTTTTTTTACTTTCCCAGTTCTGGTTCAGTGTGCCATCATATCAGATTTTAGACCCAGCAGGAGTGGCATCCACTTCCTAAACAACATGCCTCTGGAAACTCTATGAACTTTTGATAAATGTCGATAATTATAGAAAGGCTTCAGTTCAAGTCTTTTGTTCATAGGGTCGCTATGAGTCGTGTGCAACCAGACGGCAATCAAGAACAACAAAGCAGTAAAGATTGGTGTTGGGATATGTAGAAAGAGGAGCAGCAGCACAGGGACAGTTCTGACCTCATGGGAATTGGTTTGCGTTGACAGTTTCCCTTGTGGAGCTGGTAAAGGTCAAAGGTGGCCATCCCCATGTGGCCCTTGATCTTTTTATAGTATGTTTGATAGCTTTTATTTAATGACAAAATTTTAAAAAAAATTAAACTTTGTAGCTTACTTTAAAACTAAGACTTTATCCTTCCCGCAGTAGTTGCTAGAGTCAAGGTATTTTTAACGTTAATTAGGCAAATGTGAACTTAGGTTGATAAGTCTACAGGAGATAAACACAAAAAACACCTTGGAGTCAAGCCAGCAGACTCATAGCTGACTCTCCAGCATGTTTCAGAATGTAGACCTGCACAAGAGGAGACTGTCCATCTTCCTCCACAGAGCAGCTGGTGGACTTTAACCACATGCCTTTGGAAGGACAGTGCTACTCTCCACTGAGTAGGCCACTAGAGTGCCCTCTAGAGACGCTACGTTATGAAACTAAAATTAAATTAGCACAACAAAATCACTAAACACAGTTTACTTTTTGTACTACAAAATTAAGAAACAGAGAAGCCCTTGTGGCGCTGTGGGTAAAGTGTTCGCTTGCTGTGTGGATCCACTAGCCAGTCCTCAGGAAAAAAGATGAGGCCGTTTGCTCCTGCGAAGATCTGCAGCCTCAGAAACCTTACAGGTAGTTCTATTCTGTCCTACAAGATTGTTCTAAGGCAGAACTAACTTGAAGGCACAGCCAATAACTTAAAAGCAATTCCTGTGGAAAAGGAATACATCTGAAAAGTAACACACCAAGATACAAAAAGGTTATTTCGTATAAGGAGTTGAACTGGAAACCAAAGGCACACAGTTCAAATCTACCAGCTGGTACCAGTGCTCTTCGCCAGTGCAGTTTACTGCGTCTGAAAATATGCTGAATGGTCAGCTCTGATTCAGTTCCAACACAACAAAGTGCGCGACGCACTGTAAAACTGACTATATGCAATATTAAGGACATGCTTCATTCATCTCAAGTTGCCATTCTGACACCTTCATAATAAAACTGCTTTTTCTATTACAAAAAAAGAGAAATATATAAAAAGCATAAACTATACACTAAATGTAAGATGTTTATCACGGTTTGAAAACTGTCACAAAGTAGCTTTACAATTCTTACATTATATTGTTCCAGATTTTTTTCTTTATTTGCTTCAGTGTCCTCCAAATCTTTATGTATGGCAGCAATTTGTCTCTTCTTGTCATTTATAGCCTGATCTAAGGATTTGAGCTCCTTTTTAATCCATTTATCCCTTTCTTCTTTTGAAGTAAATTGGCTTCCTCGACCCTGCTTTGCATAAAGATCTGTTCTTTCCTGGGTAGCTTGGGCCAATCTACGTAAAACAAGAAATTTAGAGTATAGATGAAAAACAAAACCCAGTTTAACAGAAAACAATAATTTCAACTGTACAGAAGTCGTTTTCCAAAATTACAGAATTTTTTTTAAACCATAGAAAAAGCAACCACTATACATACAATAGAATCCCTCTGAGGAGTTGTTACAGGCTGTCAAATCTGATAGCACTCATAACTGATCCTCCAGTGGATTTTCAGAGGTAGTAAATCTTTCATTCAAGGAGTAGCTAGTGGATCTGAACCATGTGCCCTCTGGGTTGGCAGCAGAGCTCCTTACCACTAAGCTATCAGAGCTCCCAACATTATGAAGTCACATGTAATAAAGCCACACAGCAGATCAGGCAGATCTCAACCTCAGAGTAGGCCTGGCTTAGTTGGCATTATCTATAGTGTCAGAACTTTCAAAAATGGTCCAATTACACATGACTAAATAAACATTTTCAATTTCTTGGTTGAAAGACACTACAAAGATTAAATGGCAATAAAAATCTGGAAAGAATATTCTGCAACACAGTAAAAAAAAAGATTAATGTTCCAGAATAAAACAAAGTGTACTAATATCTGTATAAAAGTGAATAATCAGGCCCAGATGTTTAGAACAAGAATTCCTTTGGGTCACTGTCTAATAAACTTTTCCTCTTTCAATTTAAAATAAAAGCAAAAAATTAAATAAAAGACAATGTAAATGAAAAATACAATGTATATGAATGAATGCATGCAAACCAGTAAAATTTTTTTTAAAAAATAATGTTTCAATTATATAAAACATGTCTAGTAAAAACAAAAAACCCTAGAGGAAAAAATGGGTAAAAGACATAAGCAGACAATTCACTGAAACAATAGAAGAGCTGTAAAAACATGGTAATACATTAATTTAAAACACCAAACACTGATAAATCCTATTTATCAGTATGAAAATGTCTAGATGTTAAAATAGCACTGAGTAAAAAGTTAGTAGGATGTCATGTGAGTAAAAAAAAAAGCACAGGCCTTGTGTCCTTCTGAAAGCCCATTATCTAGCTATTTATCTTAGGTAAGTTACTTCTCAGAGCTTCAGAATAGGAAAACATGTAGTATGAGTAACATGAGTAAACAGTAAGCCCACAGTAATTAACACTGAGTGATGTTTCTTCAAGTGATTCAGTATGTTAGTATCTTTGCAACTACAGATTCTACAAAGGAACTATGTAGAAAATATTGGTGAAAAAACCCAGACCTAGCAATGCCTCGCTCTTCTTTTTCTTTCACACTGTTGAATTTAGGTTCTGTTTCTGCCAGTTCTTTCTGCTTTTCTTCTATTTTTTCAAGAAGCTTCTGCCTTTCCTTTAATAAGCGTTTCTGTAAATAAAGCAAAATAAGGAAAAATTCACCTTACTTAAAATTTTTTTCTTAAACTCATAAGCCTAGAAAGGTAATCAAGAATTTTTTTTGGGGGGGGCAAAATGGAACATAGACTGTTTTGGTGGGTTTTTTTAAACATAAGAAATGGATTGTACTGAGTCAATGCTGGAATGTACGTACTTGTCATAGAAAGAACTGCCTTCTACAATTCCTACTGTCTGACAAGTGTCAGCATAGTCACTTACCCTTTGCTCGCTATTGCCTGCCAATTCATCTTGCAAATCCTTGGCTTTAAGCTCCAATTTAGTTCTCTGCTTAATTTGCTCTTGTCGTTCAGCACTGAGCTGCTCCTTTTCCTCTTTCATAGCTGAAATTTTTGTTTTCAGTTCTCGAACCTGGCGTTCAATATCCTATTCAAAATGTACAGAACAGAAATGAGTCATGCAAGTGGAAGTACAACAGCAGAATATGAGTTACCATTAATGCTATATGTTTTCCCTTTCACTTACACGTTTACAATTACGTCCTCAAGTGACTAACATTAGCAACTATTATTTGCTCTCTCAAAGAACTGAACCATACCTCCTTGCAGTTAACGTCTATACCACAATCACTTTCATTTGCTTCAGGGTTAGCTTTTAAATCACTGAAAAAATTTTAAGGCTTTTCTTGTCTTAAACTAAAGCTAAAAACCATGTGTAGCTGCTCTGATTTACCTACAAATCAAATTTAAATACCCCAGGAACAGATCCAGCTCAAAACAGGGACTGCCTGTTTTCTAGTACACAATCTCTAACTCCGCCTGTGATTATCACTACACAATTCTTGTACAAAAGATTCACGAAGAACAAAAATACACCAGTCTTCAGTTAATTTATAATCTTACCTCCATTTTATCCCTGGCATCCTGCTGGGCATCTCTTAATTGTCTGGATTTTTCTCCACTAGTCTCTCTCTTAGCAGAAAGCTGAGGAAAAACAAGCAAACAACAATTTCTAATCCATCTTTTTAGTATTTACTAACATCTAACAAGAATGTTCTATCTGTTCAAATAAGCTAAAAGAAATTATTTCCACAAAAATGAAAAAATTAAACAAAAAACCCTCATTTCAAGTTGAATTCCAAGTCACAGGGAATCCTGAGGACAGAGTGAAACCATGCTTAAAGGTTTCCAAGATTGTGAGTTTTATGGAAGAAGACTATAATCTCTTTTACCTGCAGAGAAGCAGGTAGGTTCAAAGCACAAGACCTTTTGGCTGGTGGTCAAGTGCTTACTATTTATTTTTAATCACACACACACACACACACACACACACACAAATAGCTTTCTTAGAAAATTTACTTTTAAGCATTATTTTTATTTAAAACTATTAAATTTTCACAAAAATGTAATACTAATTGCAAGATACATTTTTAAGAAGTCAAAGAAGGAGGGGAATTTAAGGAGCTTTAAGCGTGGCTTTCCTCTTAGCCTTACACCATCATCCTGCTGTATTTCAGATAAAACTGTAAGGATAACATACGTCTAAATAATTTCCTTTGGGTAGACTGAAATAAACACTGACCTATTCATTCATTCAGGTAATTTTTTGCTTCTATCTAAAAATCACTGAAAAGTATACAGTTTATAGATTTTAACATATTTATTAAAAACCCAAATTAGTGTGATTTAATGACAAGTGAAAATATTCTACCTCATCAAGTTTCGCACGAGTCTCATTCAGTTCTTGATTATAAATGGTGTATTCCAGGGCTCTTCTCATTTTATCCCACTTCTGATACTGAGCTAATTCTTCCTTTTCTTCCTCTAAAGTATGTAATCTCTCTTCAATGTATTTTAACAACTCATTGATTTTTTCCCGCTTGCCCTCTTAAAAAAATAAGGATGGGGAGAGAGGAGTTGAACAAACGGTTTATGAATATGAATTAAACCTGACTTTAGCAAAATGTCAAACATGATATCCAAAATTAAGATATTAAAATAGCAACTAAGAAACTTTCATATGAAAAGCATCAGTGACAACACACAATGACAATAATTCATGTATTATTATATGTACCAAGGTTTTTAGTTTAAGCTTCTTTTCAAACCAGTGGGCACTCTCACAATTCAAAAAACAAACTCAGCAAACGAAACCCAGCTGATTTGCAATTTATACAGCATTATCCATAGCTGTCAATATTGGCTCTTATTTTTCTAATGTGAAGAGAAACTAGAGCTCTGGTGGTCTAATGGTAAGAGTTTTACTGACAATAAGGCACATGGTTCAAATCCACCAAGTGTTACACAGGAAAAAGATGGGCACTCTCCTCCTGTGCAACTTAATGCCTCTGTGAGTTAGTTCCAAGTTGATGATTGATATATAACAACTATTTTCCAATCAGAAAGCTACTCTGTTACCCTACTCATCAATATATAAACTATGAAAGAGGATTCTATAGCTCTGTAAGATCACAAAATGTCAGATTTTGAACTCAGTTCTCACTCTGAACTGGCATGACACAGCATTTAAAAATAAAGCAAGTTTTCTGTCATAAATATATCTATGAAGATTTCAAGTCTGAGTTTTGCATTTACCTGTTCTTAGCAACTTAAAATTTACTGCCAAGTGAAAGACCAGTAATTACTTTTCTTTTTTAAAAAGAATGCATTCAAACAAACAAAAAAAAGAATGCATTCAAATTTATTGTCCTCACTAGTAATGGTAAAGGGAGCTCTAGTGGCCTAGGATTAAAAAACTGCAATGCAGCGAGCTCTGATGGCCTAGTGGCAAGAAGCTGCACTGCAATCCCAGAGGTGTGCAGTTCGAATCCACCACAATCTCCTCCTGTAGCAGTCAGATCTGATTCGATGGTACATACACCAAAAATTAAAAAAAAAAACAAACAAAAACTAATAAATAAAAAAATACAATTTCCTTTTAAAAAAACAAAAACAAACTGCAATGCAATCCCAAAAGCATGCAGTTTGAGCCCACCAGCTGCTCTATAGGATAATGATGGGCAATTCCCTCCTGTTTGATTTACTGCCTTTGAAAATCTACTGGAGAGTCCACTGCAACTTAATGGCACACAACAATAATGATAAAGAAGCCAGAGGCTAAAAGCAATGAGTCTATAAGGGCATTCATCTCTAACAGCTACACATCTTTTACAGAGATAATTTACTAGGAATATCAAACTTTAAACTTATTTAAACTAATTTTAACACATAATCAAATTATTACACAAAATGTATTCTTATCAACTTGAAGCAACACTATGAACAAGAGATTAGAACTATGCTCTATCCTGCAACATCTTTACCTCCGACATTCCTGAACTCACTAAGTCACTGGGTCAATCCATCTCCCTGAGGGTCTACCTCACTTCACGGATGCCCTATCTTGCCCAGAATGATTCGTTTTGTTTCACTTTATTGACAGGGTTAGGTCCTAAAGACCAGACTGTTAAACGAAATTGGGCATTATATGATAATGCAGGATGATCACATCAGGTTAACAAATGGGAAACATGACTGCATCTTTATATATCTTCTGAATGACATCATTACTACCTGCCACATCACAGAGAATCACGGCCCAGTCAAGTTGATATATAACTTTAAATTTCACAATGCTCTCATCTCACATCATGACATTCATTATTGCCAAACTATGTGCAAATTAATCAGAGAAATGTTTTACTTCTGCACATAAAATATGCTGGTCGGTGGGATGGTTGGTAAATGAAGAAATGTGCAAGGTATAACCATTTTTTTATTTTACCTGTTTCTTTCATTAAGGAGATGCTTTCTTCTTTTCGCTCATCATATACTCGAGTACCAGCAACTTCTCTTAGTAGCTTTAGTCTCTGAGAATCTGGTGCTGTTGCCATCTGATTGATCTATGATTTTGAGAAAAATAATGACTGCACAGCTAAAAAAAGTTCTTTAGAAACAACAGCTTATCTTAAAAGGGCTTTTGAGAAATACAAAAATGAAAAAACAAGCTAAGCTTGGAAGTGTTCCTTCAACAGTGTTCACCTAGCATGCACAGATGAATAAGCAAAAAAGAGATGTTGGTTTGAGGAACAGGGAGTCAAGAGGACTTCTGGCTTATTGACTTGGCCCTATGGAGCAACTAAGGCTGAGTGAATGGATTAACAGAGGAAGAACACAGGGAGAAGTGGAAACTCCTGAGTATTCAGGCGATGCTATGTGAACCTGGCCACAGATGGCTGGGGATGAAGACGATCTATGCTGTGAGCTAGAGCTGACTGCTGCAACCAGATGGCTTGCTATGGACTGGACTTTGCTTGTGGATGCAGATGCTCAAAGTTTCCAAATCAAACAGAAGACTCTTCAGCAAAAGGTCTTATTTCCTCAAAGAACTGGTTGATAAGGATGGGCAAATCAAAAATTGGTGATCTAAAAATGGGGATATTAAGACACAAGGCACAAAGTAGCTGGCTTACAAGCTCTCACAAATGTAGTTATTAGTAAGATAATTGTAAGGGGGGGGGAAATCCAGAAGAACAAAATACAACGTATATAAAAGATTATATAAAACACAATGTATATGCATAAAACATTCTATGTGAATGACTATGCAAACCAATTATATGTAGTTAAAATAAGGTTTTAATACATATCTTCCTATGCTAGCTTCTTCATGTTTTAGTCAGGTTATGAGTTGGTTGAAGTAATTTGTATAGCACATACACCTACCTATTCTCAAATAGAATTTATCAAATAAAACTAAAATAGAATTGATACATTTATGAGTTTCCTTTATTAAAAACTCTCTAAATTACGAATAGATGAGTATCCCATATTACAATTTTATCTTAGCCAATATGGTAAAGTACAAAAAAAAATTTCCATTTCAAAAGAATAAAGAATTTTTTCAAGAGCAAACTGTCACTGACAGTAAATTTTTAAAAAGAATATAAACAAAAACGATGTGCTTTAAATATCAAAAGAATTGCCTTATAGAAGTGTGAGAATTAAAAAGGAAAAGCACTTATAAAATTAAAAGCAAATAATGCATGTCAAAAAAAAACTGGTAACCTAAGTTAGATGCAATTTCATGCAAGAGAAATGATAAGCAAAAAGGTTAAAAAAACCCCAAAACACTCCTCCAAAATAGTAAGTAACAAAACAACAAAAGTTGCATTAAAAAGCTAAAGTTACTCTTAACATTTTTATTTAAAAGGAGACTAAGTTCTCAGGTAAGAAAGTATTGATGGTCTCTCAAAAGTTTACACACCAAAGAATCCTGTTTCAGATCTTCACTATTGGAAACTTCAATCAAATACACTCATTCATCTCAATGACTCACTTAAAATATTAACCAAATGTCTATTGTATCAACATCTGTTCCCTTCTCAGGGCATTAAGAAATACAGCAATGAACAAAACACAAAGGCTTCCTCTCATAGAACTTATACTCTAGGGGGAAAGGCATCTCGTTATCTTGCCAGTTTTAAATGTTATGGAAAAAGAACAAAACAGGAGGTGCTGCTCTTTCAAGATCACCTCTTTCTTAAAATTTATGTTTCACAAATAAATACCAAAGAAGGTCTTTTCAGAAACCTGCTCTTTCAATACACTTCCAAAGATTAGAAATGCCACACAAACTTGTAACTTTTTACTATATACTAAAAAAGCATTCAAGATGAACTACGAATTGGACATTCTTCAAACATTTTCTTCTAGTTCCCAACCTTTCCTTTCTTAATCCCACAAAATCAACTACAGAAAACTACTAGAACATTTCAAGGTAACCTCTGAGAAAAAGAAACTACCTCAGAAATAGTTTAAAGTATACCAAGTGCTACTAAAAATTAGCTTAATTTTATAGTTTAACTTGGTTACAGATTTTAAAAATTATAATCTTACAAAGGAAAAACTATAAGTACTATTATAGATTTCTGATAACAAAGTTGTTGGCAGTTTAATTCTGTCATAATCTAGAAGGTAATTTTTTCAAATATGATTGTTATAGAAGTTCAGTAATACTCTTATATGATAACTCATTTTCATAAGCCAAAATATCTAATGGAATATAGTGACTATAGGTCACTAAAGTAACAAGGTCCACTTAGACAACTGCTAAAATAATTTTATATTGCAATGGATCTTTGGTACTTCAGTTATATAAAAATAATGCTTATTCAACAGAAATAAATCTAACATTCTCCTAGGTAGTATAGCACTGCTCTGTCGATTTGCTCTACAGAGTTAACTCGTGGTGCTTGTGATGCTGAACACTGTGACCCTGATGAGCCAAGTGATTTTGGTCACCCACGGTGACAGTGTTTGGTGGAGCTCCCCAATTAAAACAAGCTGGGAAGCAGGAGTGGCATCCACTTCCAAAATAGTTTGTTTCTGGAAACACCATGAACTTGGAGAAATGAAGAAAAGTTCACAGGATCGCTATGAGTCGCCTATAACTCAACAGCATTTAACAACAACAACAACATTTTAAAAAGTGGAAAATAAAGTCCATTTTAATTTCAATAATCCAAAGCCAAACTCATTATTCAAGGAAGACTATACTTAGACAATAATCCTATAAATGGGAGATCCAAGAATTTTTTTTTTACCTTTCCTTGTTTAACAATATAATAAGGATTGCTTCGAGAAAACCCAGCACTTTCAAGGAGGTTCATCACGTCATTTTTCCTGTTGAGAATGTTAAAATTTTTCAGTTAGATAAGTAATTTTAAATCCCCAACAATGACCAAAATAGGAAGTCTAATAACTGATTAGATTAGTCCAGGACTTTCGTTCTTAGGGTCGCTATGAGTCACCTGCGACTTGATGGCACTTAACAACAGCAACAACAATAATCTCTGATTACAGGAAAGTACAGAACAATCATTAAAGCACCTGATGTGTCAGCCTCAGAAACTGTTATGATGCTCACACATTGTAAGACAGGACAGAAGGCAAGTAGCCCTCCTGGGAGGAACATACAAGAATAATTTTACCCTTTTATTTAAAAAAAAAAAGTAAATGTGAAGGAAATACTTACGTGACCATTTTCTTGTCTAAAAAATACTGATCCTTTTTGGCACCAATTACTCTTCGAAGTGAAACTTCCTCTTTATCAATCTAATAAAATATTTAAAAACACAAAATTTGTTCAATAGAAAAAAATACGAAACTTCTTGACTATTACTTTTTTAATTTAAAATCTCAATTATCTCACAAAGGACATGTATGCTATGACTACTCAATTCTCACCCATATTTTTCCCAACAGTTTGCATATTCACATTTGCCAATTTTCATTTTAATTACAACATTGCATATAAACTATAGTTATGTTACCATTATCTCAAGCACAAAAGGTAACACACAATTACAGACAACTGTTTACATGTAAGAAAGAAATTAAGTGCATCAAAACAATTCTGAGCACTACCCAAAAAAAGAAACAAAAAACAGAAACAACGACAGTAACTCACCGGTAACCGATTGTCTGAATTGTCAAAAATAATCTCCACAAAAGCAGAAATAACTCGAGGACCAGTACCCTCCTAAAATACAGAAAAACAGAAAAGTAAGTGGTGTTTTTATGTTCTTTAAACATAAAGTGATTTTACATAAAAAAAATTCTATAGGAAATTTGTTTATACAGCTAGGGAGCTCTGGTAGCCTAGTGGTTAAGGATTTAAGCTTCCAACCCAAAGGCAAGCAGTCTGAATCTACAAGCTGCTACTTAAGAGAAAATTAATGATCTCTCGTGCAACTTAAAGCCTCTGAAAGCCCAGTGGAGAGTCAGTCATAAGTCAATTCTGAGTCGACAGCACTTAACAACAGCAACAACAATAATATACTCTTAAACAACAGCAGACACTGGATTTTGATAGAACAGTCCTCGACCAATAAACAGCAAATAACATTACAGGACATTTCCAAGTTATAGATATACTTAGGTCGTCCAAAACCAGTGAGTCATTTTTAACTTACAACATCCCTACAGGACAGAGTAGAGCTACTTCATAGAGTTTCTGAGGCTGTAAATCTTTCTAGGAGCAGATGGCCTCATCATTCTACTGTGGAGTAGCTGTTGAGTCTGAACCACTGACTTGGTTAGCAGAGTAGTTGCAGTATACACACCACACAACTGCTAGCTTTTTTCTCTTATAGTTCCTAATCACTCATTCCACATCCTTCTTCCCTCAGCCAGCTTGCTTCTAAAACCTTATCTGACAACATCTAACAGTTTCTAGCAGACTAGTGAGCTTGATTAAGGTTTTGTCAAGCTTTAGTCCACATTTCCCCCCCCCCCCACTCTAAGCAAGACCTACCTTTAGGCTATAATCTTTAAGAGGAGTAAATCTCCACATCTTTTCTCCTGTAGCAATTTGATGGGTTTGAATGACCAATCTTTGGGCTATTTGCCAAGTGCTTAACCATTTTACCACCAGAGTTCCTTTATTTTAGTATGACAGTCAACTAACTGTTCAGAACAGATGGGCTCCTGCATTAATAATATACAGCAGAATAACACAACTAAGCAATAAACTGTCACATGTTCATTTGAATAAACTACTGTGCCCACTGGGATTAATTGTATTGTTTTCTGGACACATACAGTAACAACATCTTAAAGCAATCTCACTTACATGTAACAAAGCCAGTCGTTGTTCTGGACGAAGATGACTAAACTCATCACTGAGAACAAACTGAATTGCTAGAAATACACAAAACACAAAACATATTATATTCAGGTTTTAAAAGCATTTGCAAATATATTTTAGTTTGCTTCTCATAACCTATCTGAGGTAGACAAAGGACGTATCTCCATTTTTTACAGTGGGGAAAAAACCCAGAGGTTCAATATTTCCCCCCAAGTCTTACACAGCTGCAAGCCACTAGGTCTAGAAGAGAATCCATACTTTTAGACAACTAAACCTGTATGTACCATGTGTGAATAAGTATTTCTTGGGTTTCATGCAGACAAAACCTCAAAAAAAATTTTAGTAAATTATGTTATCTAGGTTCTCCCGTTTCAGTTCCAAGTAGAGAGTAAATTAGTTGTTTTTATTTTGCTCACAACAGTGTGAGCTGACTGGATTTACTAGATTTGGCTAACAAGCAGCTGTGGGCTGGAAGTCTCTTATTTAAGTCAATCAGGACCTGGTAGACAGGCCTTTGTATTTTAAAGTCATTTGGGCCAGAGGGGCCACTAACTGTGTTTGGGAAGGACATTCTTCTGAGTGGTATAGTCTGTCTGTTTGCTATACAGAAATACCTTGGGGTTGCCGTGATACTGAATGCTGACTGATTGCTGTGTAAAATGCCGTAATGGTTACCCATTGTGGACAGTGTTTAGTGGAGCTCTCAGATTAAGACAGGCTTGGAAACAAGAGTGGTATCCACTTCCTAAACAACATGCCTTCTGAAACTCTATGAACATAAGAGAAACTACAATAGTTATAGAACAGGGATCAGATCTTTTGTTCATAGGGTTGCTATGAGCCATGCTCAATTTGACAACACTTAAAAACAACTAGATCTTAACATAATTATTAATTTAAAAAGAATACATACCATAAAAAAAGTTACTTTTCCCGGATCCATTTCTTCCCACTAAAAAGATTTTAAAATTACATATTATTTTTATTAAAACCAACAAAACTTATAAAACTTACAAAGTTAATAAACTGAATTTTCAAACATGTATTTTAATATTTATAATACAACAGCCATAAACAAAAGGATCAATAAACAAAACTTTTATTCACTGAATTAGTATAATTTTTCTATAGATTTCAGATAGTATTATTTTTTTAAAAATCTGATTTTGTTTTTACTCAACTTTAAAATAGAAATACCATAACACTTGCCTTTCACAATTTAAAATCATTACAACAGACATGTAATTCTAGCTTAATTATATATATAAGAAAGCATTTTCTGAATTTAAAAGTCCTTCTGGCATAAAATATTTAAGATTTAGTTTGCATTAGAAGTTATAATTTATAATTAAGTGGACAATTTGTTCATGGCATTATATATATATATAGGGATTGTCATTATGCTTAATTCAGAAATACTTGCTAAATAAGAAATTCAAATATTAAATCAGGAGTGTTTTACATTCTTTTATGTACAGAATTGCTTATTTTTAAAAATTTAGATGGTCTTTTCAAAAATGCCTTATAATTGTCTAGACTTGTCTTTGTGTGACTGGAATGATGATAAAACTCTCAATGTCAGTCAATCAAAACTAACTGGCAATTCAAACTCACACAGGGGAAGGCAGTATGCTTCCAATAAAGATTTCCTGCCTTGAAAACCCTAGGAGATGGTTTCGATCTGTGCTACAGAGTTGCTGTAAGTCAGTATGTATTGGACAGCAAGGTGGGTTTGGTGTGTGTGTGTGTGTGTGGGGGGGGGTGTTTTGGTTTGTTTTTTTTTTTTTAGTTTAAACTGTCTCCTCTTATAAGTTACAAAGGGAAAAAAAATTACTGGAGAGACATCACATACCTCATGCTACCCTAAGGACACATCACTTACTTTAAAAAAATAGTAACAATGTTTTAAGACAAAGGCTATGTAAATGATTATTGTTAGTTGCCACTGAGTTCATCCAGACTCATGGTGGCCTAAGTGCAGAGCCAAACTGCTTCCCTGGGTTTCAGGGCTGTGATCACCAAGGAGGCAGAGAACCCACCAGGCCTATCTCCCTAGGTGGCTCTGGGTGGATTCAGACATCCAACTTTTCAGCTCAAGGTCAAATATTTAACCATTATTGCCACTAAGCAGCCTATGGAAATAATTAAAGGAGACACTACAATTAAAATGCAAAACTGGATCAGATCCTGTACTAAAGGGTTTTTAATAAAAAATTCTACGAAGAACTTTTTTCCGAACTCACTCCTACAGCACAACCTTGCAGCCAAATCTGTAAGGTGAACAATAACCCAAGGGAGGTATTCGGTCCTTAAAATAAAAAACCACATAGGATCACAGTACCACATGTGTCCAAAGATAAAATTCAGAAGGCAGGGAGAGGCTAGAGGAATGAATGGAAACAAGATCCACAAGAGAAAAAAGGGGACGTAATCAATGTTATAAAACAAAATATGTGCAAACTATTGAATGAAATATCTGCTCTGCAAACTTTCACTTAGACCACAAAAGAAATTTACTTAAAAAAAAATTTCTAGAGCAATAACTAAAACTGAGTCAGATCATTAATGTTGAGTTAACTGAAGTTGATTGAGTCCACTACTATGGTTATGAAGGGAGCTCTGACGGCCCAGTAGAAAGAAGCTGTGCTGCAATCCAAAAGGCACACTATTTGAATCCACCAACTTCTCTGTGGGAGAAGGATGTGCAACTTCCTCCCACACAATCAAACTGCCTCTGAATACCTGCTAGAGCATCAGCTATCAATAGGTTCTGAAATGATGGCACCCAACAACAACAATAGGGTTAGGTCAAAGAATACCCTTAGTCTTAGAATATACACAGTGACACAATTAGGTGTACAGAACGATGATGATAACTTCCTTCAAAGGGGGAGAAAAAACCCAAACCTGCCTCCGAAAATCTGCTGGAGTGTCAACTATTGGGTTCTGACTTGACATCATACAAAAACAACAATAGAAAGATTGGTAGAGCAAGTACAGACAATTGAATAGAAAAAATGAGAATAGCTGAATCTGAGCAAATGATACAACAGTATTCTCTATACTGTTGTGCAAGTTCTGTAAAATTAAAACTATTCTCAAAAAAGTTTAAGAAATTAACTTATCTGTGCTCAAATTATAAATATTTCAAATAATCCTTATAAGTAACTGAAGAAATTTAAAAAAATGTCTCTTCAAGAATCACTCAAAAAAATATATAAATAAAAACACAAAACAACCAACTCAAAACACAGCAACAAAAAAACCCAGTAACAGTGATGGAAAAGGCACGCGATGAGGAAAGGATTTAGTCCTACCCAGAGATTGGAACGCTAACAATTTTAAAGCATGCTAAACATTTAATTAAATACCATCACAATTTATTCATTAAGAAAAAGGGATTACCAACAAATCACACCATTTTTATTAAAGAAAAAAAAGCAGGCATACTTGTGGATGGCTGTGCACAAAACTGGAGAGTTATTGTTCAAGTAGACCCAGTTTACATTTTCCCAGATTTGCCGACACTCATCTAGGTCTTGGCTGCCTAGCAGTGAACATCCTCAATTCCCTCACATTTCTGTTAACTGCCATCTGCCCTGGGAGTGCATTCAAGCTAGATCTATAAATCCCCACCCAAGAAAGACTACTTTCAGAGTAATACAATATCGATGAAGCATGGAGAAATTGTCTCATGTGGGTAGTAAACCTTAATCAGTGAAAGATAGAAGTCAAGAAATTCCTTCTACTTCTGACCTTTCCAGGGCATAGTGGGTCAACAAAGTTGACCTGGAAATTTTCCAGCATGACCACAAACCAGTTGCCTTCTTTATAAAGCTATGACCAGCTTTCTCCCTCACTCCTGTCCGTGAACTGCACCTCCTGTTACCCTTGGAAGCTAAACCTGCTTCTGCCTCTGTTTTCTGGGAATCCAAGGCTAATACAAGTATAGATCATCAAGTAAGAACATCTATCCATAAGAGTCCACAATTAAGGTTGCACAGGGGAATGTACTTGGTGC